AGATCACGTTATGTCACATTTCCCGGATACTTTCCCTACATACTTCCGCAATGCAGGTAGGTGCACCCAAAGATCGAGCAATCGGCATCAGAAAGGTAGCGAGATGATGCGGATTCCAGAATGTGATACCGTAAATGGAGGCTATCCAGGTTGTACCTCATAAAGTGCCGTTTATGGCAGCTTTAGTGATTGGCCTGTGACCTGGGCCCAGACGGCCATTTCCAAGCCTCGGAGAAGTTCCATGCTTCTGCAATGCAAAGCTCGTGCACGCAAGCACCTACAGTAAAACCCTTCTGCAGACTGGGAGGAAGCTCTGTAGCTGATGAGATCCGCCAAAGTAGGATGCATGATTTGGATCTAACCTAAAGAAGCAATCAAGACAAGCACTTGGTTGGCTAAGCATTTACCCACCTGCCCCCCACCGACGCCCGTTCAATCGGACTGTAGGATCTGATCCGCAGGTCGAGCTTGCAAACATCGATCCCATGTACCAGTACAGCCTGCAGTGGTCGTGGGCCTCAGCCAGTGAATGTACGGCTCCTTTAGTTCAGTTCAAGACGACACACGAAGGCTTTCTGTTTTGACAGCTGTATGAGAACTAGCCATATTTCGCATGCTGCCGAGGTTTCAGCAACTTTTTCAGCTGGCAGTGGATCAGTCCCCCAAGGCGGATGTGCTGGAGGACCCCCGGTTTCGGGCGTCGGAGCCAACAGTTCGGGCGTAGTGCTGAAGCTTCCGAACCAAATAAGTGTGCATGCTGTCACCTGACGAAGCCTGACATGGCCTTGCTGGACACACCACACAATTTCTGAACGCTCATCGTCCGCTAGCAGCGGTCCGGACAGGCCGGTGTCAAAAAACGAAAACCTTAACTCCAGCCTCAGCACATTGAGTTCCGAACCTCGAATGTTGAACCGGACCGTAGTCTACTAACCCCTAAGCCCCCCAAACCCAAGCCACCCAAAACCCGCCTGACCCTCACAGTGCAGCCTCAGGAGCGCCTGGAGATCCTCCAGGATCCGATTGCAATCGCTTCTTCGTCTTCTTCGACTCAGCATCTTCAGCATTTTGTTTTGGCATGCAAATGTACAAGCATATATGCATGCATATTACTCGGATACACCAATATACATGCCTCATACACATATACACATACACATTACATATATATATATATATATATATACTGTATACAGTAATATATGCACATACACATTTTACATATACATTATACTTTATACATATACATCTACATGCGTACTTGGCAGCATTCAAACCACTCTTGTCCCGAAGTTTGTATGAAAGGACCTATTTGGTTAGTGCACTCGGTCTCATCGTCGCAGGTGTCGTCTTGCTGTTGTAGTTTACCAAGTTCACGTTGCATTTCGAGTTCTACATTTGAAGTTCTGGTGCCAGTTGTAGCTCCCATTGAAGTGTGCGCAGTTGTGTTTGTAGTTTTGGCAGCTTCAGCAGTGGCCGTCCGAGTAGCAGTTGCAGTAGTAGTAGGCGCAGGACTAGAAGTAATTAGGAGTTGAATCAGTAGTAGTGGTAATAGCAGCAGCAGCAGCAGTAGCGGCAGCATTGGTAGTAGTTGTAGTAGTAGTAGTAGTAGTAGTAGTAGTAGTAGTAGTAGTAGTTGTAGTAGTAGAAGAAGTAGTAGTAGTAGTAGTAGTAGCAGTAGTAGTAGTAGTAGTAGTACTTGCACTTGCACTTGCGAACGCTTCTCCGTCCACGAGGTCTGAAGCATAGCGAGGGACAAGCGATTAACGCTCGGCAACTCTGTGGTTGCTGCGGCCTTGCGCATCCCATACAGACAACTACTCATCCAAAACGACTTATCGTCGGTGCTTAGTCCATCTCCTTCAGAGCTAGACCAATCACAACATGTTGAACATCGTTCATACCGTCTTCCGCCGATGAGCAAGCCTGATCCAGCGACGGTGCCGGCATCGTGACCTGCCTGCTGAGCTTCCGGAGGGGTGGTCACGTTCAAGTTGCCAGGCAGTTGACCCTCGGACGAGGTTGAGTCGCCAGATTCCGAGCTGGATACCACGATCACCGCATGGATGGGCTGCACACCTCCACCACCACCGCGAGCACCACTGTTACTAGGCCAGCTCTCGGATGCGAAGCCACTGCCATTGTCAGCCACATCGGCGGCACGTGTTGCACCGGTCGTCGAACGTGGAATCGGTCCTGTCGTCACCATGGTGGTCGCAGCCAGAATGCTCACAAAGTGCGCCTGCTGAGCGGTGCATCTGCGGCTAAATGCATGGTGCCCATTGAGGGTCCACACCTTGAGCAGCAAGCTGTGAAGCCAGGTCCTGTGTGGCGCGTACATCCATTTGTACCACATCGTTCCACCACTTGCCCAGCTGTAGAGGCAGGATGGCCGGTCAAGCGCCCACCGCCTCGTCGGCGCTATAGTCGTCGTTGCAACTTCTGACACGCCTTGTACGAGGGCCACCATCCTGTGAAGCGCTGGTCCTACATGTGGAGCAGCAGAAGCTACGTCTGCCCATATACCTGCGTTGGCAGTGCGGGTTGCTGCATGTCCTCATGGTGCCTGCAGCTGGTATGCGCAAACAGATACAGCGGCTACAGTCGGTCACAATCGCCGCAACAGCGAACAGTAAGGCCCGGTACGAATACCTAAGCAACCAAACCGTGCCAGGTACCTGGCCGGTTCCGTCCACTGCAGCGGTCAATCGCAGCCGCAACAAGCGACCTGTAGCCAGCAACCTCAGCCTCTGCAGCTCGCGGCAGCGTCGACCCAACCGACCTGAGCGGACAGGGGGGAGCCGCAGTCAGTCAGAATACTCAGGTGGAGCGAACACGAGTGGCACGTGAACTGCAGCGATCTGCAGCTTAAACAATCCAGGCAATAAAAGCAGGACTAAGTGCAGAATCCGTCTTTATGTACCCAAGGGCCGTGCGAGCAAAGGCACCAGGAGTAACCGGCAGGGGGTAGAATGGACTTGGCGCGCCAGGCAATCCAAAGCCCAGTCTCACTAGCTGACTCCAGTCCTCCTGACCGAGGCTCTGGTACTGTCCAATGATAATGGTATAGGCAATCATGGTGATACGGTCGCCATGCGACCAGCCCTCCACGGAGTGCGCTACAGCACCGGCGTTCAGCAGGAGTGCATTGCCACTGACTGGCATGGACATGGCCAGGAATGAGACGTCCGCGGCATTCCCGGAAGACATTGCCACACTCCTCGTGCGCCCATAATTGGCCATCATCAAGGTGTGATAGGCCAACATCAGACTTTCAAAGGGTGCGTTGTTCACATCAGAGTGCACCGGCGCGTCAAAGTTGACATTGAAAGTGATTGTAGACCAGATGTGACCTGTAAAGGAGCCGGGAACAGTGTTTCCCCATGCCTCGGAAGGTACTGTTGCAAGCTGTTCGGCATACATCATGATGGCATGACGCCCCTCTTCATCCAGGGCAGAGGCCGCTTCCTGAAGGATGTCATTCCTGACAGCCAACGCAAGTGCAGGCGGTAGTGACAGGTTCCCCTGTTCCTCCACAGTTTGGGGTATGCCTGCAGTAGCAGCCACTCCTCAAGTTGCTCGGCATAGATGCCTGGTGGCATCTGGATCCCTGTTGCCATTCGCACCACTGGGAACTGAGACTGCAAGAGAAAAACTGCCTCACACCTACGTGCGCGTGCGCATGCAATGACCGACAATCAGACGGCATGTGGGCAGTGCAGCACAATGAGTGCCAGGCCGGCCGAGCAAGGCCAGGCAGCGCACAACAGCACAGTAATTAGGAGCAGATGCGGCTGCAAAGTCTCAGTGACTGTTTGGCATATACAACATGAACGAGCACAGACACAGACATGACATTAACTGAAATAAGACATGCATAAATTCATGAGCGTGCGATCGCGTGCGACCGCATTTGTTCCGCCAGTGGCCCCAATCACGACCAGCGTACCTATGGCTGCCATGCGGCACCATCCTGATTTGTATGATTTGGGCGGGCGGCTAACCAGGTAGGTATTGTGATGGATGCAGATCAAATCAGCTGATTTAGCCGCCCGCGGTTTGCGTCTGCCATCGCAGGTTCTGTACTCCCAAGGAGCATCTGAAACAGCTATGGCGGCACTACCG